TCAGGTATTTTGTCCCAGTAATGAGAGAAAAGTAACTAAGACAACCCAATACTTAGTGATTATGGGGTAGATTGTTTCACAAACCTCTTGTGGATACCTGCAAATTATTGAGCCCTTACATTCTCTTACTGCAGCTATTACTGCAGAGAGTACTTCTTTGAGCTTGTCATCATGTAGCACCATATCTTGTATTGCTCCAGGTGTAATGTAATTCTAATGGTGCAGCACCATGGTAGAGGATCTTTGCCTAGGCTCTCACACAACCTGCAAGTGTGGGACACTTAATAACCCATTGAGTGAAAATAGAACCCATGAGGGATGGAGTTGGTAGAGGAATTCCTTTCTCTTTGTGGAATTGAACCCAAGGTCTTTGCTCTGAGCTACATCCCCAGACTTTTTAATGTTTTTTATTTTGAGACAGGGTCTTGCAAAGTTGCCAGGTTTCTCATGCTGGGTTTGGACTTGTGAGCCTTCTGCTTTGGACCCCAGAATACTGGGATTACAAGAATGTGCCATCACATCTTGCTGATTGTTTCATCTTTATCTTCTTATGATAAATGTAGGTTGGGATGTCTAAAGCATATTTCAGGAGGATACATGTGACTGAACATCCAGTCCCTCCATAGAGGGGGCAAAGTTAATAATGTAACCTCAACTTCAAGCCCACTTTTCTTCCCTACTCTGCTCCTCTTTATTCTGTCCAGATCATCTCTCATATTCTCTTTTCCTTAAGCTCTGGGAAAACCTTGGCAAAGATAAATTTAACTGAGCCTCTGGGAGACTATAAAATAATCTTGATTATAAATATAAATTTAGAAGTTATTGCATATAGAGGTATCTGTAGGCTTGAGAACGGAGATCATGTGGGCACAGATTTCAGAGAAAAAAAGGAAACCTAAGACCAAGGCTTGAGGCCCTGAATATTTAATGATGGGGTAATTGAGGGGGAGGTAATTGAAGATATCAGGGCAGAAAAGACTGAACTATAATTGATTAATTGCTGGAGGCTTGGAGTAGACAAACCTGAGAGATAAGCACTCCAAGGGCTTCAGTGACTGCGGGATAAGAAAACTCCACTTCTGTAGGTTTTATGCCAGGGGTCCTACTTAGTTCTCACAACAAATGTTAGAGAAAATTCCCTGGTGCTTCTGGCAGAGGGAAGGGGAAAGTAACTCTTTCAAAATATGAGAGGAATTTGCACTCTTTGAGTCAAGGCCTATCCTTAGGAAAAACAGGTGCCTAACCTCTTGGAATGTCATTAAAGCTTAACCCAACTCCAGCCTGATTTAGCCTCCCATGTGGGAGAAGGGATGTACCAAACTCAGTCCCCTCTAGCCAACCTGTACCATGTAAATGGGTGAAAATAAACAACACTAAGAAGCACTGTAGAGTTTATAGTCTAGACATAAGTTCACCACAAGAAAAAGATCTAATCACAGGTCCACCGAATGCTTTCCCTACTGTCACAGTCAACCACCATACTAGTAAGACCTATTCACCAGAGTGTCTGTTACTCAGTACAGCCTGTCTGGCTTTCAACAAATATTACAAGGCATACTAAAAGGCAAAAACACAGTTTGAAAAGACTGAACAAGTATAGGAACCAGTTTAAGATTTGATGTGGATGTTAGAATTATTAGACTGTGAATTTAAAACAGCTGCAATTAATATGCCAAGGACTCTAATAGAAAAATTAGACAACACATGAGAGTATAAGGGTAATGTTAGCTGCTGTCTCAGATAGCCATAGGAACACTATTTGGCTATGATACTGTCCTATGTGTTGTTCTTATATCTCCCAGTGTATTGGCTCTTTCTCACCTGGGCTACAGTCTGAATGTTTTTGCTCCCCTTTCATATGTTGGAAGCCTACCCCCCAGTGTGATGGTATTTGGAGTGGTGTGTTTGATAGGTAGTTAGGGTTAGATGCAGTCACGAGGCTGGGGCCCTAGAAATGAAGTTAATGCCCTTATAAAAAAGCAATGACAGGAAAGATGTTTTCTGTGTACACCAGCCAAGGGATCTTGTGAGGCCTTATCCAAACCTAGTCATTCTGGAATTCCAGCCATTAGCATTGCTATGGTGAGATGTTCATTGTTTAAAGCATTCAGTGTGTGATATTATGTGAGGGAAGCCTGACATAGGCTGTATAAACATTTCTTCACTTTAAAGGATAACTTAAAAGCAAATACCCAAGTGTGAGGTCCTGAGTTCAATCTCTGGTACAAAAAATAAATAAATAAATAAATAAATAAAGCAAATACTACAGAGAACTTCAGTAGTACCTCTGATAGCCTCTTCCTAATTGTATTCCTCTTATTCCCCACAATCTTCACTTCACTGTAATTGTCTTCTGATTTTTTTTTTTTTTTTTTAGTTTTGACTATAATTTTGCCAGTTGCATTTACAAAAACATTGTTGACATTACCTGTTTTTGAACTTCTCTTTAGGTAGAGAAGTTTGTATCATTTGCTCATCATTTTGTGTCAAGGGCAGCTGTTTCACTTTATGTAGTTGTAGGTCATTTATATTTGTTGTTAGATAGTACTCTGTTGTGTGAATGTGCCATCACTTACCTGTATTATTGTTGATGGGCATTTAGATTGTTTCCGTCATCATTTAATAAAAACAATGTGGTGGCTATCATTCTTTTACATGTCTCCTGATGTGACAGGAGTCACTTCAGAGAGTATATCTACTCTGGGTCATAATTGTCAATCAGCATTAGTAGCTAATGCCAAACTAATTATCCACATGCTTTTGCCAATACAATCAACAGTAGCAAGGGTGAAGTGGGAAAGGAAGAGTTCCCAGCTGGTATTGTTGCAGGAAAAATACAGGGTCAAAAGGAAAATGTTCTACATTTGGGAGTTCTGGAAGGCAATTTTAATGTCATGCTAGCAGACTGATGGGAACCAGTTCCAAATCATCAGCACCAAGTCAGTATTGAGTTCAGTTTAAATACAGTTTGCAAGCAGGTAGTACAAAGCTGATAGCTTGTTATTACATGATTGGTTACAGGAATTATAAGAATCAAGTCATATGTTGTCAGGCAGACTTGTATTAAGCAAGTTTACTTGAAAGGAATTATTTATCATTATACAGGAACATTCTGGGTGGGAGGGGGTCTGAGCAGAGCAGATAGAGTTGAATGTGTCCTTGACTGGGGCCAATCTGTTCTGGGAATAAAGTATAAAGTCCTTGAAGCAAACCAAAATAAAACTGGATATATACATATTTTAAGTAGAAAAACGCAGATACTATAGCTGGATGTGGTCAGGTTGACCTAGCCAGCTTTTTGGAAGAAGCAGCTGGATGCAGGCAGTCAAGGCTAACTAAACTTAGCAGTCTAACTATGTGGCATGCAGCATGAGAATATTCTCTCTCAATAGAGTTACAGACTATTGACTGATTTTTAACTTCTACTATAAGGTTTTTATAAATTTGTTATTACAGTATAATTTCCTCCCTCCTCTGTCCACTCAGTGCAGTGTTGTTTTTTGCTATACCTCCTTCTCAATATGATGATTAATATTAACTAGTAGGGAGATAACTGAGAAAGTTCTAATCTAAGATGATGTTCAGCACTGCTAATATTTCTAAGTTGCCCCTTGTAATAGACTTAGAACTTATGGATATAAGGGAAGTGGTTGCTGGTGGAAGGGAAGTTAATTCCAGATGCTTTCTATGCCTGTGTAACTAATAAAAACTTAGACGCTTCAAACCTAAAGAGCTGTCTTGCTTATACTGCCAGTTGGCATATGTCTGTTGCCTTAAAGTGAAATAAGTTTCAGTCTGGAGGACTTTTTCTTCTTCTTTGAAATTGCTTTTGATATCCAGGGCTAAAGCTTGTCCAAAGTTAGGTGTTATTTATGCTGCCTTTTGCCTTCACAATCAAATAAAGATAAGTTACTTGGAAAATAAATGAACTGATCCTCAAATTTTACTTCAGTGACAAAACTCCACAATTTTCTTCCATTTTAAAAAAGAATTGTTTATAACTATCCTGTTAAGCTTGAAATCATCCAGAACTTAAATACAAAGTTTATATTACACAAATTAAGTAAGTTTTATTTAAAAATAAATAATTTAAATTTTTACTGTTTAAACAGACCATCAAAGCCTTTGGATGACATAGACAATGATATAGTGGGTTTGCATTTTTTTCTTAGCCACATAAGATGTTTAGTAGTAAAAATGCTGTTTGCCTACCATTATGTTTATCTTAAAAGATTAGATTGTGTGTGAATATTACTCTATGATCCCTCACAAGTAGGTTATTAAAAGAATTAACTGAGAAATTCTGTTTACATATTTACATTTAAATTTAGGTAACTGAGCTTGGGGTGGTGGTGCACATCTGTAATCCTAGAATTCTGGGGTGCTGAGGCAGGAGGATCACAAGTTTGAGCTAACTTGGTGAGACCTAAAAAATGGTTGAGGATGTAGCTCAGTATGAAGTCCTTGGGTTTAATCTCCAGTAGTGAAAAAAAGAATCAAATGAAATTATATATATGTTTATACATATGAAATTATATATATATATGTATATATATATATATTGCAATTGTTAGAAAGAATATTTTTTCCATAAAAAATATGTTTTTTTTTTTTTTTCATATAATATCTAAGCCACTCAGAGCCCTGGGCCATGGTCACTGAGAGGGTGTTGGGAGTTACCATCTTCTGTCAAGCATGAAATCGTATGATAGGCAGAGCAGATATCCTCTGTCATTCTCCTTGATATCCATTTCCCAGAGAATTTGTGGACAGTGTGAAGGCGTCAGCTAATTAAAGGTAGAGGACGTACGTTCCCAGAAGACTTCAGCCAGATAAACAGGCTAGTTATTCCTGTGTGCCAGCCAGTCCCAGGGCAGTTTCATACCATCCTCTCTCTGTTCCATAAAGGGCTCTGCATCATATAACCAGGTCACTATATTCAGGAAATGATGCCCAGAGTTTAAATTTGCCTTTCTTCATCTTCTTCCACCCAGGAGCAGAATGCAGGACTCCAGTGTCATAAGAAGATATGTGGTTATCATGAGAAACTCTTCACTTGTTTAAGGGATTCTGGGTAATCATGGACTGTGCAAGTTGCTTCCTGATTCCAGATTACAAATTCTGACCTCTAGCATCATTGTATTAAAGACAGAGATTGGGAATGAGTTTGGGATCCACACCTCCTAGGGAAATCACTGAAGACTCACAGACAAGGTCAATAGAGTGAGTGGAATAGAATTTTGTCTCTGTGTTGCTCTAGTAACTGGCAAATTAATTTTCAGGTGCAATTGTTCTTGAAGAAATGAGCTAAGTTGGCTCACCTCTACATCAACTGGCAAAAGAAACAGACTACACAAATTTACCAAGTAGAAGAATTAAATTTTATTTTTGATTTTAGAAGACAATTATTCATTCCTAGATATTTTGTCCTATTACAGTATATTCGCTATACCTTAGTAAATACACATGGAAAATAATTTAAATGCTGACATATGCAGCGCAATAAAATATGTGTTTTAGTGGTAAAATTGAATAATTTTATGTGTGTGTGTGTGTAATAGTATTGTGGTTCACCATTCCATTCTTTCTTCTTTTCTCCTCATTCTGTGAAATTACATCATTTTTTTTTCTATTTTCCTTAGACCTGTCATTTTTAGTACAGTAATAGATCCATTTATCCCTCATTTATATGTCTCTGTGGACAGCAGGGGACAGTCCTAGCATACCTGTTTCCATTCAGACCTATGGAACAGAAACATTATTAAAGAAATAGTGATCTAGACGAAGTCCCACGTTTGCAGGAATTTTGTCAGAACTCTTTCAGGATTAACTCAAGAGTTGGACAGAGCCAAGATTGAATGTTGAATATATCAGAAAATGTTGTGTAATTTGAAATATATTAAATATAGATATTATCTTGGAGTCTTTTGTATTTAAAATATGTAGTCTACAGATTATAGTTATATATATTTATATAGTTATTAAATATATAGATATATATTTATATATAGTTTTATTGAAATATTTGTTCTTTCATTACAATTTTAATAACCTTGTCAGTGTTGTATAATTATTGTTAATTATAAGTCCCTATCTCTACTTATATGTGCCAGTACTAAGTATTTAACCTTTTTCAGTTCATATCTGTTCTTTTAATTATTGTAAATTTGTGACCTTATCAGATGTGGTTTCTCATTATACTATTTTTTCCATTATATTATTTTTTATTGTAATTTTTACATAGAATCCCATTCTTGTTTTATAGAATTTATTTTATTTTAACTAAATTTTATATATGACATATATATATATATGTCATCCCTGCTTTGTGACATTTCCAGTGATGTATTTTTTGTATCCAAAGTAATTATTTATGTGTAATTTTGATAAGAAAAACTTCCTATTCTATGCTAAATGGTGAGGATGACTAGAGACACTCTTTTTTTGTTTCTACACCTAAGATTAATATGTCTGATGTTTACAGTTGTTATCATTTATATACGTTGTTAATCTGAATCAATCTTTCTTATTGCATTTATCATTAGTACTTATCTAAGTGTACATGATGAGTCCCAGGTAAGTCATACAGTTCTTTAAATGCATCGGAAGGAAATAAAATACAGTGTCTCCTTCAACCTAGCTCCTTCTCTTGGAGGATCGTCTCTGTGGTGGTGCAGGTATCTTATGGAGAGAAGGATGTTGAACAACGAACATGGTGACTGATGGCAGAACACAGCTGGGAGTCAACAGGGAGCCTGTCCTGCAGTTAGACCTTTCCCATGCGCACTATTACAGAAGGACAATTGTTCCACAGTTGCAAAGATGATAATTTTTGCAAATGACAAGACAGAATGTGACATTAGTGTCCTACCTACCTCGTGGTGTGGCTTCTGGCCCTGGAGGCAACTGTGACATGGAGAGGCAGTCACATTCTCTTTTCTTTCATCATAGGCATCTCCTTTGCCTGACATCATTTTATTTTTGAACCTAAAATTACATGCACTTTATGCTTGTTGGAGAGGTGACATTTAGCATTCATTTTAATTAATGTATATTATCCTGTAAAGCTGCAAATAGTTTGTACAACATATCTCATTAGCCTTTTGTCTTTGACCAAAGGCCTTCTCGATGTGTTTTGATATGGGATTGTTCAGATATACAATTATTTATTATAATGGTGCATGATTATACTTGTGCTTATCCTTGGATTTATTTAACATTTTATATTGCCCTCCACTTTGATGAATGTTTCCTTATTTGATATGTTTAAAAATTGATACAAATTTTTATTAATTTTTTCAAACTGTAAAATAATATTCTTCTGCACCTTCCTTTCAAGGTTGAACGGACATAGATCCATCCTGTGTTATTCCTTCTCATACAAGATGGATTAGAGTTTTATCATGTATACTTTTACATTTCCAAACATAACATTTTTTGGTTAACTTTTCCTGGCAATTATATTATGGGACAAGAAAGGCATTTATGGCAGTGACAAATATTTCACAGTGGTGTTTCTCTACTTCTAACTCTTATTGCACTACACCTTTTCTTTTCCCTTATTTGGATTTTATTAACATTTATTTTATTTGATATACCAGTGGGTCTACCACCCAAGCCTGATTCATATTTTAAAAGCCTTCTAATAATTAAGGATATACTATGTTTCTCCATTTGATTGTGATGGAACTGAATTCTTTGTTCTCTGGTATGGGGCCTGATTTGCACAGTAATGAATACCTGGTTAAAATGATGATTGACTGACATTAGAGATGGTGATGTGCTTAGTACAGTACAAAGGACTCTCCAAGACAGTGTGCAGAAAAGTTTATATATAAAATTAATCTCCTTCATTAAAGTTTCACATTATATATCACTGATGTGTTACTGCTCTGACAATGTACCTGTCTTTACCTCCATGCACTGTAGTTATTTATTGCGGGGAGTGATATGAAGCATTACACTTTGTATAGATGACACAACTGGATAACATTCAAAGATGTTTATTCTGATTAGAATGTTGACAATGAGCAATCTTGCCTCTTTCAGGAATGTCACTCACTCCAATTATTGGTAATGTGTGAAGACCAAATCAACAAAGGTAAGTACTAGCCACTGGATTTTAGAATTCTACTTTCCAGTGACCATGCATAGCCAGTGAATTTTCAGTTATTAAGTTGGTATGACAATTCTGGCACCTTCAGGGCAAAAATTATGCCCTATATTTGAATGACAAATGCAGTAAATTTCAACTTTGTCTAACTAAGCGTGAAATTGTTTTACTATCTTGCAAAAAAGTAAGGGTAGCTTTTTGAAAATAACATGTCAGGTAGAGAGGCAGTTCTTCCAAAATGTGTATACTCAGTAGTGTTGATATTTGAAATGTAATTTAATCCTTTTATAAGTACATTCTAGGTCATAAATGCCTATTTCTGAATGTACTCTGGAGAATATCTTGTTACATTCTATTGCATGTGAAGTAAGTACAAACTCGACTATGTAGAATTATGATATTATGTACTTAAAATAACCTCTCCCCCATCTCTCTTGCCTTATTCTTTCTGACTTGTCACTGTTTTGCCTTGACAATTTTCTCTAAAATATGCACATATTCTTATAGTATTTTAAATCATATTCAGCTAAATCTGAAGCAGACCTTTTGTATCTATGACTGATGCAACACAAGGTCCATGATTTGTGAGTGAGTGTGTGTGCGCGCACGCGCACTGGGGATTGGAGCCAGGGATCTCACACGGAGCTGCATACCCATCCCTTTTTATTTTTCATTCTGAGACAAGGTCTTGCTAAGTCATCAGTTTGCCCAGGCTGGGCTCCAGCTTGCGACCTTCTTGCATGAGCCTCCCAGATATTTTTATTATATGAAATGCTAACGATATTACTCTTTGTAGTAATGTGAACAAAATGAATACAGGGCACGTTGGTCTCAATAAATACATTATTTATTAACACAGTTGCATATAAAATCCTGTGGCTATATCTTAGGCGTGTGACAGAGTTCACCTTTAAATTTTGCTGAATGCTTGATATTGACAGGAAACGTGCTAATGAAGGATGGACCAGCGAAATGGAAGTTCTTTCAGTGGATTCATCCTGCTGGGTTTCTCAGACAGGCCTCATCTGGAGCTCGTCCTCTTTGTGGTTCTATTGATCTTCTATGTCTTCACCTTGCTGGGGAACACAGCCATTATTGTGTTGTCGCACCTGGATGCGCATCTGCACACTCCTATGTACTTTTTCCTCTCCAACCTCAGCTTCCTGGACCTGTGTTACACTACCAGCATCGTCCCACAGCTCCTGGTTAATCTCAGTGGGGCAGACAAATCCATCTCCTATGGTGGCTGTGTGTTCCAGCTGTACATCTCTTTGGGCTTGGGATGTACCGAGTGCCTTCTTCTCGGGGTGATGGCTTTGGACCGCTATGCAGCCGTCTGCAGGCCCCTCCACTACACGGTCATCATGCACCTCCGTCTCTGCGCCCTCATGGCATCTGCTTCGTGGCTCATAGGTTTTGCCAACTCCTTACTGCAGACAGTGCTCATATTCCTTTTGCCACTCTGTGGAAGAAATAAGCTAGACCATTTCCTCTGCGAGATCCCTCCGTTGCTCAGGCTTGCTTGTGTGGACACGAGCGCAAATGAATCTGAGCTCTTTGTTGTCAGTTTCATCATCCTTCTTATACCTGTATCACTGATCATCCTCTCCTACAGCCAGATTCTCAGGACAGTCTTTGGAATTAAATCAGCAGCAGGACAGAGAAAAGCTTTTGGGACGTGTGGCTCGCACCTCACTGTGGTCTCCTTGTTCTATGGCACTGCCATCTATACCTACTTCCAGCCGAATAACAGGTCTGCTCAGAATCAGGGCAAGTTCATCTCTCTCTTCTACACCATCATCACACCCATGATCAACCCCCTCATATATACCCTGCGGAACAAGGATGTGAAGGGAGCAATGAAGAGAGTGCTTTGGAAGGCCTGTGACTCCTGCTGACTGGGAGGGGAAGGCACATCAAGGCCCAAAACCCTTTGCAGTGTGTGTTCCCTGTGCCTTTTAATGTTTCCCCTGCAATACTGGGGGTGATTTTCTTACCCAGTTCTCTTTGGGAAGCAAGGAGTCAAAATCTAAATTCATGAATTCCACGGAGGCTGATTCAGTATTCTTTTAAAATTCTTTTCAGAACATGTTTGCAGTACGTAATGATTACACTCCTCATGGGGAGTTGGCACATGGACATAACACATCTTCATTCTTTTTATGTCCCCTCCTGCCTCTATCTCTCGGTCCCCTTCCCATTTGCAAAACATCTATCTCCCTGTTTCCTATTGTCTGTCTTTTATTTTGCTCTATAAATTATTTGTGGGGCTGGGGATTTAGCTCAGCGGCAAAGCGCCTGCCTGGCAAGCGCAAGGTCTTGAGTTCGGTTCCCGATACCGGAGAAAAACCAAAAAAAAAAAAAAACAAAAAAAAACAAAATAAATTATTTGTACTTCAGGTTTCTTATATAACAGATCATGAGGTACTTAAGCTTGTGTGTCTGATTTATTTCACTAAACATATGGTCTCAAGGTGCATCCCTATCCTGCAAATCACTGAAATCTGATTTGGTGTTCTTGTAGCATCTAAGCTATTATAACTTTTAAAAGAATCCACAAATGTTTTCTCATTTTTACTCCCATTTCAGAACATTATTTCATTTCTACTGCAAAGAAGAATTTAAGTAAATACCATAAAGGCACAGCCATAATAAAAATATGAATCTATTGAAACACAGTAAGGAATAAGAATATCTAAGCATTTTTAAAGAAATTGCTAGAGTTATTATTTATTTTTGCATTTTGATCATGGCTGTATTATAAAGCTCATAGGTTGACTATGTCAGAGCTTGAGGAAAAGCCAGATGTCCCATGGTGCCAGATCCAGTGACTAGGGTGGATGAAGACATATCATTGCGTTTTTACAAGCCTTCCTTTCTGTTAAATGGCAGTTTGCAACAGCATTCGCTGTAGTTTTAATCCAAAAGAGGACTTCCACAACTGCTTCAAAAAAAAAAAAAATAATGGGATAAGTGTACTTGAATCCAGGGAGAGAATTTTGTGGAGATTAATGGCAATTAGTCTTTTAATTTTAAACAATTTTAAAAATTCATATTTGTTGATCAGCTTTTATATTTAATGTCATAAACAGTATTTTGCCACAAAAGTTAGAGCTGTGACAGTGCCATTGTCATAGAAATGTTCTAAATTTTGGTAGATTTTTCCAGTGTGTCGCACAGTACAGACAAATACTTTTGTATTTCTAGGTAGAGACCTGTTCATAACAATTATCATAGAGTTTCCTACCCTGAGAACTGACCTATATTCTTTTGGGACTGAGCCCTCTCAGCTGGTCCTGCTAATAACATGTGATCTTACAACCAAGACAAGATTTGACTAGCTGAAATTGACAATCAGGGCAAATTATATACATGACCAAGATTCCATCTATAGCCCTTAGAGCGTCACGGCATTCATGCATGGATCAATACTTAGGAATTTGTGTATTTTGACATGATGATAGTGTTTGTTGTGTAGCAGCATACAAACAATGTGGGAATACTGTTTATCCCCAGTGATGACACATTTCACATTCTCCATTATGGCTCCACAACTCTCTGACAGGGAATTGTACCCCAGTGGTCATTTAAACAGTCTCTCAAATGAACTTTCTTTGGCGAAGAAAACCTACAGCTTTCGTGAAGCCATACAACCTGTTATCTGGCTGAGCAACAACTCTGCTCTGAAGGACACACAAAAGCACCGCCACAAAACAGATTAACTTCCTTGCCGTCAACGGTTGAAAGGCATTTGGACATTTATATCACTTTGGAATGAGTGACAGATTATAAAGATCTCAGATGGGATTCAGGACCTGCCTCACCATGCTTTCCACACTGTCCACAGCACAGTAGAGTTCTGTATAAATGGACAACAAAATTATTGATACATTTTCTTTTTTAATTCTCACAACTGTGAGATGACTGCAGCAGTGGTACCGAGGGCATGGCCAGACGATTTTATCCCACCTGCTCTCAGCAGCTGCATTCTTCCAGACCTTTTGCCTTCTAGCAAGCACAGAGTGTGCATCATTGGCTCGGGGGATGAGTGCTGGCAAAGACCCAGTGGCAATCATCCTCACATGTAACATAATTTCTACCTCATCTATGCTTTAGTAGTGATTACTAAAGACTATGAAACAGCAGCAACTGCAGAGGCAATATCTGTGAGGCCCCTCAGTCAGAAACCCCCACCTAACTTGCATGGTATTAAGTAGCGCAGAGAAGCTTTATACATTCTTACGTGTGTAGTACTGTTGTTGTTTAAGGACTAATATTCATTCTTTAGACTGTACATTGTAGATCTATCTATCTATAATAAATACACTAAACAGACCATATCCATTGTTCTAAAAACATCACAGAATCACAAGCAGTGCATGAAACCTTGTAAGACCTTCCTTTAACTTCCAGCCAGTGACCCTCCCCTGGTGACCCTTCCCTTTGCAAATGACTTTTGATCAGTATGTCCTACTGCTGAGCACTCTCTTCTGCCTTTTTGGTATTGTAGCATATTAGAATGTCAGATCTGGCGGGACTCCGGGACCCACTGTGTATGCAGCTGAGTTAAATGTGGTGTGCTGATGAGGCGGGACATGAGTAAAAGCACAAGTGAGGAGACACCTGACTTCTGGAAAAGAGGAAGCAGAGGATGCTGTCCCTGACGGATCATTAGACCCTGGACTCTCCTCATTCCTATTCTTCTTCCTCCTCCTTTTTAAAATTTAAATTTATTAATTTATATTATTGGGTGGATTTGTTTAACCATTCTGAACTGAATGAAGTCCTGCATTCTGAAAAAACTGATAATTTCCAAATAAAAATTACACTGAATATTTTAATTGCCACAAATTAACAAATTAATAACTCATATTATGGCTGAAAGAATGCTTACTGTGTGTTTGTATGTTTATAAGTGAATATGTTTAACAAAAATCCACAACTTAGTAAAAATCCTAAAATTATTTCCTTAACCAAAGATTTCAAGATATTTGAGTATTTGAGGATATCTATACTTTATAATACACACACAGCGCGTATTGACAATTATAACAAAGTAACAAATGTAAATAAGGTAACAATAGCATCTAGTGGTTGAGGTCAAGGTAAAGGAGTAACTTAGATGACTTAGAATATATGCTCAAACTTCGTGTACAAGGAAAAGTAATCAATGTGACTTTAGTATCATGATGTTCAGTTAATGTCTGGATTATTAAAAAACTTCAAATGTAAGTGATATCAGAGTAGAACATGCAGAAATTGCAAATAATGTAAATGTGAAGTCCAGTGACTTTTCACTGAGCATATACTTCCTACCGCCAGAGTCCAGTCGAAAGCCAGGTCCCCAAGCCCCTCCCCATCTGTCCTTCTGGTAATTGCTCTCCAGGGGAACACTGTTCTGACCTCCAAACTGGCCTACTTTTTGTTTTATATAAATAGAATCACACATTATGAATTTTTATAGTTGGCCCCTTTACCTCAAAATTATACCTATATTGTTCTATGTTCTTACAATTTGTTTTTAAACATTTTTAAAAACTAAATGTATTGGTACAATTTAGATATACACAGTGATTATATTCATCACGGGAATTTGTACCTGTACATGACACATTTTGAGTCCTCTTTTTTCAGCCCCTCACCTCCCTTCAACTCCTCTTCCCCTCTCTGTTTGCAAAGCTTTGTTTCCATTTTATCCTTTTTTAAATCATTTTTCCCTGATGCCTTTCTTCCTTTCCCCGTTTCCCCCTCCATAGCTCCTCCTCCCTTTTGAAAAATTTCTTCCTATTTGACAATGTCTTCTGTACATTTTGGTCCTTATTTACTCTTCTAGTTTCTTACACCAGGGAAATAATGTGATATTTGCATATGTGTGTCCGATTTATTTCACTTAAGAGTATGGTCTCAAGGTGTATCCATTTACCCGCAATGTCCCGAGTTTATCCTGCTTTGTGGCTGAGTAGTACTCCATTGTATAAAAAAACCAAATTTTTAAAATCTATTCCTCAGCTGATGTTATTTGCATTGTTTCAAAGATTTAGCTATTACAGTATATGCTGCTATAAACATGGGTGCACGTATGTTTCTGTGGTATGATGTTTTTAATTCTCTTGGGAAGATACCCAGAAGGGGAATAGCTGGGTCAAATGGGACCTCTAATCCAGGCTTTCTGAGGAATCTCTGTACTGATCTCCACAGTGGTTCCACCAGTCTATACTCCCACCAACAATGGAGTAGGGTTCCTTTTCTCTCACAGCCCCTGCAGCATTTGTTTTTGGTTGATTTCTTGATGATAGTCATTCCTTCTAGAGTAAGTTGGAATCTCAGCATTGTTTTAGTTTGAATATCTTGAATGACTAGTGATGTTGAACATTTTTTCCCATTTTTATTTGCCATATGTATTTCTTCATCTGAGAAGTGTATATTCATCTCAGATGCCCATTTTTGGATTGGGTTTTTAAATTTGTGGGTTTGATTTTTCAATTTTTTATATGTTCTAGGTATGTCTTTTGTCTGACAGACAACTGGCTAAAATTTTTTCCTACACTGTGGGCTATCTTTTTACTCTATTGGTGATTACGTTTGCTATGCAAAAGCTTTTTAATAGGATGAGATACCAGTTGTTGATTCTTTGGAGTATTTCCTGTGTGATCAAGGTTTTGTTCTTGAAGTCTTTGCCTACCCCTGTCTTCAAGAGTTCTGCTTGTTCTCTCTTCCAGCAGATTTAGTGTTTCTGTTTTAATGTTTAGTTCTTGATCCATTTGATTTTAGTTTAGTGCATGAGAGATATGGGTCTAGTTTTAGTCTTTGGCATGTGGAAAGCCAGTTTTCTAGCACCATTTATTAAAGAGGTTATCTTTTTTTTCAGTGAATATGTTTGCTCCCTTTTTGGCTGAACAATAGTCAGCATATATATACCACACTGTGCATGTATATACACCACATTTCTCTATCCATTTATTCAATGATGGGCTCTTAAGTTGAGGAACCTTCTTATTATGTAAAAATGATAATTTCATTTCCTGCTTACACTTCACTAGGAGGTTGGCATTTTCTTCAGAGTAAAGTGCAA